AAATATAATAAATTGTTGTCTAAATGTCGTTTTCCACCATGGTTTTCTCCATCCACAGTAAGAGTCATTCGTGAGAAACTTAAAGCTCATCGTAATTGGAAGAGGTTTGGCAACAATAACTATTTGTCTTTTACTATTCTCCGTAAACGTTCTAAAGTTTTGATTAAATCTGACTATCAGAAGTACTTGCGCTCGGTCCAAGAAAATTTGATTGAGCGCCCTGATCATTTGTGGTCTTTCGTTAAAAATAGGAGGGGTGGATGTGCCGGTATTCCCACTCACATGAGGCTTGGTAATGAGGTCGCGGATAATATCCTTGATGTGTGTTCTCTGTTTTCACGTTATTTTAATGAGGCATTTGTCGGCGCTACCATTGCTAACCGGACTGATTCAGCCGGTATTCTCCCGTGGTTTACTGAGGAAAATGTGTTGTCCGTTCTTAATGAAGTCGATCCTAAAGCTGGAGCTGGTCCTGATAATTTACCTGGTAACTTTATTAGACACTGCGCGAATGGTCTATCTAAACCGCTATTTTTAATCTTTTCCTTGTCCTTACGTATTGGTTCCTTTCCTGGTGAGTGGAAGAGGGGATTTGTGCTGCCGGTTTTTAAGTCCGGTGACAGGGGTGACGTCTCTAAATACCGCCCGATTACTATCTTGTCATTGGTTTCGAAAGTTTTTGAAAAAATCATATATTCTTATTTACTTTACCTCTTGAAACCTAGCCTGATTACGGAACAACATGGTTTTTTACCGGGTAAATCGGTGGAAACTAACCTAGTTTATTATACTAATTTTATTCATAATTCCCTCAATTGTTCCAATCAGGTCGATGCGGTTTACACCGATTTTAGTAAAGCCTTTGACAAGATAGATCATAATATTCTGATGCAGAAATTAAGTACCTTTAATGTACCGCAAGGTCTTTTGACGAGGTTGGGATCGTACGTAACGGGTCGTTGTCAGGCGGTGAGGATTGGTGGGGTTACATCCTCATATAACCCTGTCACATCGGGTGTTCCGCAGGGTAGCCATCTTGGCCCTATCCTCTTTGTGGCGTATATTAATGACATTTCTTCTTGCTTTAAACATGCAAAATTCCTGTTGTATGCGGATGATTGCAAAATATTTTCTAACATTACAAACAAATGTGATTCCGAAAATCTTCAGGAGGATCTAGACCGGTTCCAGCTTTACTGCGCTGATAACGGCCTGTTCCTGAACTATGATAAGTGTTCTAAAATTACTTTCACACGTAAACGTTATCCACTAAACAATTCGTATACATTGGGGGCCGGAACTTTAACCTCGAATGACCACATTAATGATCTTGGCGTTTTATTGGACAGCAGGCTGATGTTCAATTTACATGTGGACTTTACTATTGCCAAGGCTCTAAAGCGGTTGGGTTTTGTGATTAGGACCTGCCGTATGTTCACAAATATTCAATGCATCAAATCTCTTTATATGGCGTTAGTGGTTAGTGTTCTTAGCTACGCCTCTACTGTCTGGAACCCTCATTATACTATTCACATTAACCGCATTGAATCCGTACAGCGGAAGTTCTTGAGGTATTTAGCTCACAAAACATTTTTACCTTACGGTGATTATCTTTTGCGTTGCAGAGCTCTAGGGTTCCAGACATTAAAGCAAAGGAGGCTGTGCTACGATTTATTATTCTTGTTTAAAGTAGTTAACAATCTTTTCAATTCCTCGGAATTGGTAAGAGAATTATGTTTTTATGTACCGTCATATCAAACACGTGGTGAATATTTGTTTAGAATTAGTAGATCCTTGTCTTCTGCACATCTTTACTCTCCTCTTGTGAGATTGATGAATGCGCATGACTCTTGCTGTAGGAATATCGACATCTTCAATGTGTCTTTGGCTGTTTTCAAGCGTTTCTTGCGGGGCGTGGGTGTGGAGAGATCGTTATTACTCCGTTAATGAGTATTTTTATTTATATAATATTGTAACAATAATTTTGTATATGCGTTCTGATTTTTTGTTTTTTTTTGTTGGAGTGTTACTTTTGATTTTGTTTTCTTTTTGATTTAGAATATTATTTTTTGTTGTACTCTTAAGTTTTTTGTTATTAATTTTTAGCTGAGTATCTTGTGGATGCTTAGTTGGGGGTCAATCCTGTATGCATCCCGAATGTAATAAATAAATAAATAATAAATAAATAAATAAATAAATAAATATCTTCAGATCGTCCGCAAAGAGTACGCATCTGGTTGAGTTAATTACCAGGGGCAAATCATTTATAAATAACAAAAATAACAAAGGTCCCAGATTACTACCCTGCGGAACCCCTGAATCAATCCCCAACATATCTGATACTGCGTTTTTATAAGAGACGTAATAAAATCTGTTGGACAAATATGAAACAAAAAAAACTAAGAGTAGAATAAGAAAACCTGTGTTGTGCCAGCTTGTGCAGAAGCGTATCATGATCCTGATAGTGACATGCGTATCATGATAGTGACTTGCACTGTCACTAGAACTAACATTAGACCATTTTATATTATAAAAATAAATTTATAATTATTATCATTCATAACATTCTCTTACGTTCAATACGATAAGTCTTTAAATCCCTCAAAATAAAACTTATGATTGGTTATATTATTACATTTATCAATAACTCCTCAAACTTTCTGGGCTTTAACTTGAAATAAAAATCTTGACTTAAAATCCATAACTGAAGTCACAGCGAAAATTTAAATGAAAGGTTGGAGTAAAAAATAATTAAAGTCAGATTAAAAATTGACAGAAAGTCAGAAAATTTTTTTTCTTACATTTAATTTTTTTATATTTTTTTCTCTAAAAATTAAAAAAAATGAGATATCCTCATATTATTACGAACAATGTAAAAATAGCTTACGAACCGCATTCGGCGGCTGAAGAATTAGCCAGGGAAGCAGAGCGCACATTTTTTGCTGAAAATTTCGATTTCGACAAAGAATTATGTCCATCGTTAACTACACTATGCGTGGAAGTAATCGCAAAAAACTTTAAAGAAAGACCTTTACTCCAAGAACTCCCATGCGCGGATCGATTACATTTACTAGAACTACTCCCGACTGATATCCCTTTAGAATTAGCCGTTCCAATAATCGAGGAGGAAATTTATTGGAAACGGAGATACGCGGATAATTACGGGGTTGTTAAATATGTAAAGCATGAATATTGGACTTGGAAATGCTTGTATCTTGAACATTTTCTTCGGGTAACGCTTGAAGAAGCTCAACCTCAATACAGCGATGAAACGGGAATGGGCGACTTATTAAAGTTATTAAATCCTTTTGTGCATAAAGTAACAGTTACGCAACTACAAGCATGGAAGCCTCCTTTAACATCAGACGAAGAAGATATCCCTGAAGTTTATCCCATTGATCACATCGATTTCGAACCAGTTTTGCAAAAATTAGAAAATATAACCGAAGTTGATATAATTTTCGGGATGAAAAATTTAGAAATGAATTTCGAATGGCACGCCTTTGAACTTTCAGTGTCCGATTGCGCCCATATAGGAAGAGCAGTTTTATATTTAAAATCATTAAAAAAATTTCGACTTCATAAAACCCCAATCGACGATGACCATTTGAGAGCTTTATTAGAAAATTTAATTAATCACGAAACAATAGAACTTTTAGATTTTTCAAACTGCTCAATCGGCAAAACCGGAGCTTTATGTTTAGCTAAAGTTATGTTAACAATGAAAACTTTAACCCATTTAATCATTTCAAATAATAACATAACCGCAACGGGGGGGATTGGATTGGGATACGCCTTATTACAACCACAATGTTGTCCTTTATACCACTTAGATATGAGATTAAACCCATTAAAACACGACGGTGTTATGGGATTATTACGAGCTATGGCCCGCCAAGCCAATTTGGCCGAATTAAGAATTGGGGCGACAATGTTCGAGGACGACACAGCTTTAAGAGTTTCCGCTGTAATCAAATTAAACCCGTATTTAAGGAAACTAGATATAAGTTCGAATTGGATCGATGAAAAGCATTATGAAGAATTGGTAAACGCGCTTGTCGTAAATAGAACTCTGTTTTGGATAAATGTGCGCGAAATGGATATCCCGACAGAAATAACGGATAAAATTAAAAAGTTATTGTATCGAAATCGAAATGGATTGGATGATGTTGAAGAGGATGAAGTGGAATCCGAGGAAATTATTGAAGAAGAAGAAGTAGAGGACGAAATCTTAGAGCAGGAAGAAGAGGAAGATGAGGAAAAATAAATTTAAAGAATTTGTTGCTGTCTCTAAAAAAATGTATTACAAATATATTAATATATTTTTTTTAATCATAACCTCGATTAATAATAATGCACAATAAATGCATAACAATACAAGTAGGTAATAAAAAAAATTAAAATCTAATATTATTTAAAAAAAAAAATGAGACTATGACGTCATTTCAAATAAAGAAAACTAATTCCTCTTTACGACATCATCACATGATATAATCACAAGAATAAATCGATAATTAATATTAATAATTAATTGGTGTGAACACATTTGGTCACGTTGTTGTTCAAATTGCAGCACCCATAAGTCTCTAATATTTCGTTTTATTTTTCATTAATTCTTTAAATCATTATTTAAGACTTTTATGTGATAGCTGATTCCCTCATCGTCCAACGTAATGAAATTAGTAAAATTCGATGACACAGAAACGAAATTCGCATAAGATCCCTTCAATTTGATTGTCCTCAACAGGTATGGTTTATTAAAATCGCCCGATTTATTCGAGATTGGATCATTGGAGAATATTGAAACGTCCGATGATAAGATTTCGCGATAATTCGTTTGCCTCAAACTTGGTCTCCTAAAAAATATCTTTATATAAAGTCTTAATTAAAAACGATTAAGAAATTATTACCTCACAAAGTTATTTGACGGTAATTTAGCTAAATTCCACCAAGCGATTTGTTCTCCTACACTGACGAAAATCAATGAGGAATATGGAGAACTTAAAATGTATCGAACAGGAGATACGTGAAGTTGTAATTTGGCGAATTCTTGAAGTTTTTGCTTTTCAATATTAATAAAATATACCTTTAAAAAAATTAATTAATTAAAAATAATTAAGTAACAAATCTTATATAAATAGTTCTTCAGAAACAAGTTCGAAGTGATTTTGCAACCATTTATTTATTTAATACATGTCATATAGTTGTCTGAAAAATAACAACAAAGAAAAATACATCAAAATATATAGAATTTACTTATATAAACTAATTATTATGATATGCGAGTCAAAAAAAAACATCAACCCCCGCTACGATGTAAATGGTGGCACATGCGTGACATTCCCAACATGGGAGAGTTCTGGAAGACATTCGTACGAGGAGTAAGCATGTAAAATAAATAATCGAGCCGAAGAGGAACACGAAAATTAACAACTTCAAGAACGTTAGGAAAATCAATACTACCATTAATGATTTTATGGAATGTCAAAGCATCTTAGCATAAACGACGCTGGCGGAGCGATAAGAAATTGAAGAAGGCAAGCTGATACGTAATCAATGTAGCTTTTAAAACATAAACACTTTAGGAATTTCTTTTGAATCGTTTCAATTCTGGTAATATACTATATTTGATATTGGGGATTAATACAATCTTCTTATAGCATAAATATTTGTAAAATTTTGCGTGACTCTCATAACGAAGCCAAGGATGCGCCAAGCCTTAGCAACAGCTCCATCAACGTGGCCCTCAAAGTGACGCCTAAGTCTCATACCATAGTAGTCACTCTAGGTATGGTATCATCACCCAGGCTGTAATCATATCTGCCTTCCTTGTAAAAGAAATAACATTACAGTTTTCAGGGTTGAGTGTAAAGAAATTTGAGCTGCAATAAATAAATGAACAAAAGATGAAGTAAAAGTTTTTAAATCATTAGCATACATCAAACAATGAGAGTGTTTAATTATTGAAAAAATATCATTGATATAAATATTAAATAGAAGAGGTCCTAAGTGACTCCCTTGCGGTACACTGGAGGTAACATCATGCTGTCCGAAAAATGGCCGTTGATTTAGCTTTAGAGTCCTTCCACGTGTATAAGAAAGCAAGCCAACGCACAAGATGTTCGTCAATATCAAACATACGAAGTTTGGAAAGAAGCAGAGCATCGAAAGCNCATGACGTTATTTTGGCTCGTGGGGGGCACACACGCTATTAATTTTCGTGTTATTATTAATTATTACATTAAATTAAATTTGTTTTCTTGTTTATTTGTCTTTGTTTTTACCGGATATTAGAACTGAGAACAGATGTTTACAATAATGAAGGACGTAAGCAATTCTGTAATTCTAAGAAAATGTAAGTGCTTCTGCAAAACTGTTTCGAGTGCCCAGTTTTAGTTTTCAAGGTCAGTGATTTAAGGCCACTTTTAACAATGATTAATATAGAAGGCCTATACAGATTGTATAGGCCTTCTTTGGAAATTCCCGGCCACACCATCACAGAACCACCATCGAAACTTTCGCGTTTCATAATTGTATAGTCCACAAATCTTTCATTTCAACGTCTTCATTCGCTCCTGACTATCGGGTGATAGTAGACAAAACCACTACTCATCCGTAAAAAGGACCTCCATTGCACTACTCATTCCTTCATTACTCGATCTCCCAATTCATATGTAAGCGCGCAGATTGAAGACGCGCACGTCGATATCTAGGAAGCAGCCTCGGCCCTTTGGCAGCCTTCTTGCAGCCAGACCAGTTCTAGCAAGTTTTCAGCGAATGGTTCTCTCACTGACATCAACAACACGCACCATTTGAAGACGATGCTGAGCNACGACGCTGACGGAGCGATAAGAAGTTGAAGGAGGCACAGGCAGATACGTAATCAATGTAAACGATGTTGCTTTTAAAACATAAATACTTTAGGAATTTCTTTTGAATCCTTTCAATTCTGGATATATATGTTTGATATTGGGGATTCCAAACGGAGCTGCAGAAGCTTAAAACGCTATGCACATACGCAAAATACAATGTTCTTATAGCATAAATATTTGTAAAATTTTGCGTGACTCTCATAACGAAGCCAAGGATGCGCCAAGCCTTAGCAACAGCTCCATCAACGTGGCCCTCAAAGTGACGCCTAAGTCTCATACCATAGTAGTCACTCTAGGTATGGTATCATCACCCAGGCTGTAATCATATCTGCCTTCCTTGTAAAAGAAATAACATTACAGTTTTCAGGGTTGAGTGTAAAGAAATTTGAGCTGCAATAAATAAATGAACAAAAGATGAAGTAAAAGTTTTTAAATCATTAGCATACATCAAACAATGAGAGTGTTTAATTATTGAAAAAATATCATTGATATAAATATTAAATAGAAGAGGTCATAAGTGACTCCCTTGCGGTACACTGGAGGTAACATCATGCTGTCCGAAAAATGGCCGTTGATTTAGCTTTAGAGTCCTTCCACGTGTATAAGAAAGCAAGCCAACGCACAAGATGTTCGTCGATATCAAACATACGAAGTTTTGAAAGAAGCAGAGCATCGAAAGCTTTACTAAAATCAGTATAAATGGAGTAAATTTGAAAGGAATCATCCGTAATTTAACCCTTTGTGTCCCAAGAAGTCAAAATTTATGAAACTTTGTGAAAGAATTAAAACGCTATCAAAATACAATCAGTAAAGGCCTTTGGAATCAATTTTAGCAAAATGTACAATCCCCCCATTCCGGGGGGATAATGGTACTTGAGAGTACCATCAGACATTAAAATATATTTTAGTGATGTTGCAGTAAACAAAAACTTTTAATGCCAATATAAAAATAATACATTTTTTATTACGTTAGAAAATAAGTAACACTTACTTTAGCTAAATCACATTATGATATTCATTAAAACAGATCTTTCTTTCATTACAACATAAATAAACATTACACGCAGTACATTTTGAGTGGGGTCTACCTTTGGCAGAACAATTTTCACAACTTCCTCTTTCTTTTGAACTTGCGCTACGACATTTTCGTGGACGCAGTAAATTTGAATATTTATTTATCAGATCTGTAGCTACAGAACGACGAAAATCTGATAGAATTTTGAGAAAAAACATATTGAGCAAAAACTAACATTTTCGCATCTCTTATCAATCTAAATGTCAAAAAATATGCTAATTTAAAAATTCCTGGAAGCCGTATTTATGGAAATTAAGGAATAAAACTTATTCTAAATTAAAGCTCAAAGCTTTCTCTTTAAAATGATGTATAATAATTATTGGGATGAATTGGAAAAATATTGAGAAAAGAAATATTGAAATAAAACTTACATTTTCGTAAAACCTAAAAGTGTCAAAAAAGATGCTAATTTAACAATTCCTGGAAGCGGTGTTTATTGAAATTAAGGAATGAAATTTATTCTAAATTAAAGCTCAAAGCTTTCTCTTTAAAATGATGTATAATAATTATTGGGTTGGATTGGAAAAATATTGAGAAAAGAAATATTGAAATAAAACTAACATTTTCGTAAAACCTAAAAGTGTCAAAAAAGATGCTAATTTAACAATTCCTGGAAGCGGTGTTTATTGAAATTAAGGAATGAAATTTATTCTAAATTAAAGCTCAAAGCTTTCTCTTTAAAATGATGTATAATAATTATTGGGTTGGATTGGAAAAATATTGAGAAAAGAAATATTGAAATAAAACTAACATTTTCGTNTTTAGCCGCACGTTTCTAAGACGGCTAAACCCAAATGATTCTAGTTCTTGGTCTAGCGCTGCATAAGAGTGCGTTTGAAGACGCACGGCTAAACCCGAAACTTTCTAGTTCTAGGTGTAGTGTTAGTTGGTTTAATTCTTACGCTAGACCAAGAACTAGAAACATTCGGGTTTAGCCATCTTTAGAGACGTGCGGCTAAACCCGAATGTTTCTAGTTCTAGGGATAGTGTTAGTTCTAGTTTTACACTTGCACTGGCAGTAGAACTAACATTAGACCTAGAACTAGAAACATTTGGGTTTAGTCGTACGTCTCTTAAGACGGCTCAACCCGAATGATTCTAGTTCTTGATCTAGCGCTGAATGACAATTAAAACGAGAACTAACACTATACCTAGAACTAGAAACATTCGGTCTAGTGGTAGGTAAAATGGTCATTGATATTCAACTTTAGAGTCCCTCCACGTGTATAGAATGCAAACTAACGCACAAGAAGTTCGTCAGTATCAAACATACGAAGTTTTGAAAGAAGCAGAGCATCGAAAGCCTTACTAAAATCAGTATAAATGGAGTAAATTTGAAAGGAATCATCCGTAATTTAAAATATAGTGGGTGTATTCCAACAAGTTGCTCTCAATCAAGCGACCAGCAAAACAACGTGCTTATAGTCGATTTTACTTTTCACAATAAAAATAAGTCTTCTATAAATAAGCTTTTTAAGTATTTTAATAATGGCAATAAAGAAATCTATAATTAGATACCTTACCACGATTTCCGGATTTAAAGATAGGGATTACATGAGTCTCCTTCGAAACACGTGGAAAAACTCCAGATTGAATCGACCAGAGTGACTCAGAACAAAGCATGTCGCGCAATCCCGATCAAGATTAAGATTGTTAGACACAACGCCAGTCTGAGTAGACATAAAGGCAGAGTGAAAGTAGGAGGCAAATAAAGAACAAACAGACCGAGCATCGGTGGCAACAACACCATTGTGAGTGACAGTGGCAAGAATAGCATTCCTCCTTTTCGATGCTTAACGAATGACCTAACAACCTTGGATTTGAAGCAATCTTTGTCTTAGCGTTCAGAGTGTAATTCTTATAATCATGATTAATAAGAAATTTTGCCCGACCTCTCAGAGATGGGAAAAGGTGCGATGATCAATGCGCGGTCTCCATAGCGCGTTCACCTCCTATACGCCTTCCTTTTTTCTTCAATCACCTGCCTAGTGCCAGATGAAAACCACATTGGACAAGCTCCCATCCGTTTTTGGAACGAATTTATTAATACATAGCTTCACGTACATGGATATAAAATAACTCTAAACGTCACTTCTGGAAGCAACTTCCGCAAGAAAACTTGGTAGTGGACACACGGCTTAAGAGACGGAAGAGTTATATTCGAAAGTAGACGACGTGGCAACCGCACAGGAGAATTCAAGCGTACCAATTGACGGAGCAATGAGCAATATCTTCAAAAACCAACGGGTTATCGCTTAGTCACGTTATTTATATCACAGAAATTAGTAATTATTAAATCCAAAGTATTCCAAAAGGCACCAACGTGGTGATTGAATTGAATCAAGCCGCACAGAGACAGAGCGTGAAGTTAATCAAGAGCTCTAGTAGTATTATTAATACATGACACAATGAGGAGAATTGACATTGAGTAACCATCTCAGCTCCGGTAGGTTGTAGTCTGCGCATATCAAAAATGTATCATTCGGAAACATCTGAATAATTGCGGAAAGCTGATCAATAAAAAAATGTAACACTACGTTATTCAAAGGCAAAAAATAAACACCACAAACATGAATCAATAAGCCGCCACCACGCATTGTTATGCCAATAGCATCCAGCCCGACAAACCAATCGAAACGTGCGATTCGATTTCGTCCAACATACGAATCCGAAAAAACCTCTGCCGAATGTATCCCAGGATACAGCCAAGTCTTCGTCAAACAAATAACGTCGTGATCAGAGTTTAACACGTTATTGAATAATGTATCTAACTAAGTTCTAAGGCTACATACATTTTAGTAATAAAATGTAAAGACAGACATCGTCAATTATACAACACGGTAAATAATACTTGTATAACAATAGACCTGTCTATATCCTGCTCACGTTAGCATCACTTTGAATGTGGATAGGGCGTGCGTCATCATTTTTCCTGACGTTTTAATAAAACTTTCCTCTTTAATTTCGCAGCAGTAAGAAATTTATGACGCATTAGTTGACTGCAGAAACGCATAACGACAGCCTTTGGAGCACTTCGACCCATGATACTTAGACTATTTATATTATTTTTCTCTTGTATTAACTATGTGGCAATAAACTTATTATTATTATTATATTATTTAGACCGTGAGGCACGCGATGGACAGCATCCACATCAGCAGCCGAAATCGGAACGTCAAGGAAGATACTCATAGTTTTGATCATCACAACCAAGCTCTCTTTATCTCAGGAACTCCTCGAATCTGAAGGTTGCTGCGACGAGAATATTGCTCCAAATCCGCCATGCGCCCCGATATCTCAGTAACCTGCTTCTTCAGAAAAGCATTCTGAAGCCATGGCTCGAAGTCAGAAACCCTTTGGATGCAAAACTGGACCGAGTCTACCAAAGTATCATAGCTTGCACTCATATTACGCATCTTCCTCACAATATTGAACACTGTCTCAAGAGTAATAGGGCTGCGCTCGGCCACAGAAGAGATTGATGGAACGGGAAAAATGCGCGACATGCAGAACATCTGGTGGCGGGGGCATCGTGGGCTCCCGCCACCATGAGGGCAGCAATTGACGTTTCGGTGACCTCGACGCATTTGGCAAGAAACTACTCGGTACACGATTCGCACTGAATTCCTACAGTCTTCCTCCCCACCTCACGCTTGCACCGCCCACACGACTTGTTTCGACTTGTATACATCGATCACGATCGATTGACATACTGCACTTTTGACCGATTGTCAAAATCTAACTGATTTCATCACTTTGAATTTGTTTCTAGTTCTAGTATTAATTCTATTTTTAGATCAACATGAAACTTACCGTAATAACTTTATCCTCACCACCAAAAGCAACAAATTTCGAATCAAAACTAAAACAGCAACAATACAAACATCCATTAACCATCCTCCCACTTAAATCCTTCAAACCAACCGCCCCATTACAAATATCCACAACAAAAACATCAAACATATTGGTCATTGTGATCGCTAATAACCGTTTGTCTTTACTCATTGTTGCTGAGGTAACGGAGTAAGATTGTCGGGCATCGCTTTTTCGACCCCTTAAAACATCCAAAGATCTTCTTGAACTCGTACAGCGATTCCAACATTTAATAACGCGATCTTTCATGATTGTGATTAAGCAATCAATTTCGTTTAAATAAAAGGTTTCGATTACGGGTTCAAATTGGATTGATGACACCTTATTTATGGTGACTAAAGACATGTTTTCTTCTTGAAATCGCAACATTTGATCGCCTTTAAGTCCCCCGGCTAATAGTAAATTTCCGAAAATTTTTAAATAAACAACGGGGGAAGATAAGCGTAAAATTCTTGATGTGGAATTCGTTTTAATTTCGTATTCGATTACTTCACCGTTTTCTAATCCGTAAAGGATTTTATTTCCGCACGGGGAAAAACAAACTGTTCGGATATTAACTGGTGTTGTTAAATCTTTTAATGGTTGGTGGTTGTTAAAAATTTCTAATGTATTCGTGTCTTTAACAACAACAGTTCTCGGGAAAATTGAATCCGATTTGGGCCAATAACAATCAAAAATCGGTGTTCTTCTTGAAATTGATTGCATTATCGTTTTGGTGTTGTGCACCTTTATTGTGTTATCTGAATAACGATAAAGAAAAGTTGTTGTTTTCTCGCTAAATTGATATATATCGACAAAAATAGCTGATTCGTAATGATTCGAGATTCCTTTTAATGTCCCTGATGGGATGTGAAACATCCGAGTTTTGTTATCATCGGACATAACGTAAAGTATTCGTTCATTAAATCTCATTAAATCGACGAAGCCTAATAAAAAAATTGAATCATCGAGTGTACAAATTATTTTTTCTTTAATCCCTGGGACTAATTCCCCGGGCATTCTCTTCGAAACTACGCTCCACCAAGAAACCGTCCCACCATAAATCGTAACGAAAGAGTCTTCATCAACAACTATCAACGATGTTATTTTTCCTCCAAGATTCGAGTGCAAAACTTCGAGCCCACAATTATCATAAACAACTAATTCATCAGATTCAGCTCCAACAATCAAATCATCGTCCAATAAAAATTTGAGGTGCTTCACTGATAACTTACAGGAGATTTCTTTTTCGATTGTGTAACAACAATTCCACATTTCCGTTAAATTATTCGGCGTTAGCGTCCAAAGCTGAACGAAATCTTTGTTTGTTCCAATTAAAATCGAATCGGTTCGATTTCCGAAAGTTGCCGAAATAATATTCGAGTTTTCAAGGCGAATAATTTCGGATGGTTTTAACGATTTATCATCGTTATAAAAGTGTTTGTAATTGTTTTGCTTAATGGACGGTTGAGATGTGTTTAAATCAGTTTCTAAGTGCCAAATTGCAACGCTTCCATCTTCGGAAACTGAAAGAAATTTATCACGATCGGGTGAAACTTCAATGTAAATTATTCTTTGTGTGTGTCCTTTATAGTTTCTTATTGTTTTTTGATCTGTTAAATCAATTAACTAGAATAAAAATTACAAAAAAAAATTAAAATAATTTAAAAAAATATCTAAAAAATAACAAAATGGTGGATTAAACAGTGTGTGCAACATAAAAATTGTTAAAAAAACACTCAATTTAATTACTTAACACGTTCGCTACCGCACCNCCATGAGGGCAGCAATTGACGTTTCGGTGACCTCGACGCATTTGGCAAGAAACTACTCGGCACACGATTCGCACTGAATTCCTACAGTCTTCCTCCCCACCTCACGCTTGCACCGCCCACACGACTTGTTTCGACTTGTATACATCGATCACGATCGATTGACATACTGCACTTTTGACCGATTGTCAAAATCTAACTGATTTCATCACTTTGAATTTGTTTCTAGTTCTAGTATTAATTCTATTTTTAGATCAACATGAAACTTACCGTAATAACTTTATCCTCACCACCAAAAGCAACAAATTTCGAATCAAAACTAAAACAGCAACAATACAAACATCCATTAACCATCCTCCCACTTAAATCCTTCAAACCAACCGCCCCATTACAAATATCCACAACAAAAACATCAAACATATTCGTCATTGTGATCGCTAATAACCGTTTGTCTTTACTCATTGTTGCTGAGGTAACGGAGTAAGATTGTCGGGCATCGCTTTTTCGACCCCTTAAAACATCCAAAGATCTTCTTGAACTCGTACAGCGATTCCAACATTTAATAACGCGATCTTTCATGATTGTGATTAAGCAATCAATTTCGTTTAAATAAAAGGTTTCGATTACGGGTTCAAATTGGATTGATGACACCTTATTTATGGTGACTAAAGACATGTTTTCTTCTTGAAATCGCAACATTTGATCGCCTTTAAGTCCCCCGGCTAATAGTAAATTTCCGAAAATTTTTAAATAAACAACGGGGGAAGATAAGCGTAAAATTCTTGATGTGGAATTCGTTTTAATTTCGTATTCGATTACTTCACCGTTTTCTAATCCGTAAAGGATTTTATTTCCGCACGGGGAAAAACAAACTGTTCGGATATTAACTGGTGTTGTTAAATCTTTTAATGGTTGGTGGTTGTTAAAAATTTCTAATGTATTCGTGTCTTTAACAACAACAGTTCTCGGGAAAATTGAATCCGATTTGGGCCAATAACAATCAAAAATCGGTGTTCTTCTTGAAATTGATTGCATTATCGTTTTGGTGTTGTGCACCTTTATTGTGTTATCTGAATAACGATAAAGAAAAGTTGTTGTTTTCTCGCTAAATTGATATATATCGACAAAAATAGCTGATTCGTAATGATTCGAGATTCCTTTTAATGTCCCTGATGGGATGTGAAACATCCGAGTTTTGTTATCATCGGACATAACGTAAAGTATTCGTTCATTAAATCTCATTAAATCGACGAAGCCTAATAAAAAAATTGAATCATCGAGTGTACAAATTATTTTTTCTTTAATCCCTGGGACTAATTCCCCGGGCATTCTCTTCGAAACTACGCTCCACCAAGAAACCGTCCCACCATAAATCGTAACGAAAGAGTCTTCATCAACAACTATCAACGATGTTATTTTTCCTCCAAGATTCGAGTGCAAAACTTCGAGCCCACAATTATCATAAACAACTAATTCATCAGATTCAGCTCCAACAATCAAATCATCGTCCAATAAAAATTTGAGGTGCTTCACTGATAACTTACAGGAGATTTCTTTTTCGATTGTGTAACAACAATTCCACATTTCCGTTAAATTATTCGGCGTTAGCGTCCAAAGCTGAACGAAATCTTTGTTTGTTCCAATTAAAATCGAATCGGTTCGATTTCCGAAAGTTGCCGAAATAATATTCGAGTTTTCAAGGCGAATAATTTCGGATGGTTTTAACGATTTATCATCGTTATAAAAGTGTTTGTAATTGTTTTGCTTAATGGACGGTTGAGATGTGTTTAAATCAGTTTCTAAGTGCCAAATTGCAACGCTTCCATCTTCGGAAACTGAAAGAAATTTATCACGATCGGGTGAAACTTCAATGTAAATTATTCTTTGTGTGTGTCCTTTATAGTTTCTTATTGTTTTTTGATCTGTTAAATCAATTAACTAGAATAAAAATTACAAAAAAAAATTAAAATAATTTAAAAAAATATCTAAAAAATAACAAAATGGTGGATTAAACAGTGTGTGCAACATAAAAATTGTTAAAAAAACACTCAATTTAATTACTTAACACGTTCGCTACCGCACCGTCTGAAGTAGTTTTTTCGTAGTTTCTTTGATTTCGAGATTTGGGTTTGTATTATTTACAGAGTGGTTTATTGTATATGACGTTTTTGCTCATTTTTTGTAAAAAAAGACTTAGTCCAGTGTACTGGACTTTGAATTTTTACGCTCTATACAACTGAATTTCTTCAAATACCTACAACGTAATGTGCTATACAAACCAAAATGAATAGTACGGCTACCACAAAATATTACTAAACACAATTATTGTGCACTCTGTCAGATTCTGAAGAATAGATCTACACTAGGGTTTTCTGGACATATTGGGCAGTTGTATCTGGATTAAATGTAAACTCCACCTCTGCTACACTGGTGATACTTCTTCATCGCAGATTTGTCTTTCTGTGTGGAGGGAACTGTCTCCAGATAATGGAATTCTGATTATTGGTCTGTAGCATATCCTTTATAACTTCGTCTCTGAACCTCAAGAGGTTAATTTTGGTTGTACCTCTTTCCTTCTTATATATTATTATGTAATAGGCATTCCACATTGAATATCTATAAGATGAAAGAACACTTTTCTGTACCTTCTTTCCTTGGCGATCTGGTCTGATCTGTCTATCCCAGACATGTAGGTACTTATTGTAGGCGAGAACACACTCTCGTTTTATTACTTGTTTTCCTTTTCTATTTGTTGCTTCTACCATTCGGTATTTATGCATTGTTGATATCATAGCCATCAATCTCTTCTCCTTCCAGTGTATAAACACTGGACCTTTTCTTTTCCATACAGCTTCTCCTTTCATATTTTTTTTTTTTTAATAATTGTTTCGGATTTCCCTTTCTAAATTTTCGCAAAGTTCCTACAAGTTTCGTGTTCTTTTTGAACAAATAATGTAGCTGGACACTAGTGTAATAATTATCAAGGTATACTTCATGCCCTTTATCCAAATACTCTTTTAGTAGCTCCGTTTCGACTGAAAACGTGTGGGAATGCTCTTGATCATTATCTATTATAGTGCCTTTTAATAATAATAATATTCCTTTATTACCCAACAGGCATAGCCCAAAAAAGGATAACAATATATATTACATAATGTAATAATACAATAATATGTATCTGTATGTGAGGGAAAAAAAACAAAAATTACAAAAAATTCAAGAAATTAACAATTGACCGAATTATAAAGAAAATAAAAATAAAAACTAAATAAGTGAATTTACATGCAGGTGATCACTGATTGTCTGGAATCCTGTTGCCCACTTTACAGAGAGTGTATGTTGGCGCCCGTCTCATAATGTTTGTCCTAGCATAAGGAATGACGAATACGCAGCTATATCTTGAGTTACTCCTTGGAACAACAAACCCTAGTCGCTCAAGAATGAAAGGGCAATCGATGTTATATTCGATAAGCCTTTGTAGAAACCTTTCATAAAACGCGTTTCTTCTGTCCATCAAGGAAATCATATTGTGTCGTGCAAGCAAATCATTTTGTGGTATACCTCGCTCAGGGTAAATTCCATCAGATTTGTAAGAAAGAAATTTTAAGAATCTACGATGGACTCGATCAAGGCTTAAGAACTCACATGCATATAAGGGACTCCAAATCAGGCAAGCGTATTCTAACTTACTCAGAACGTAAGCACAATACAAGGTCTTTAATAAGCTGACACTTGTGAAATATTTAGACATACGCATCACAAAACCTAGGGACCTAAAGGCCTCCGAACACACATTATTGATATGTTTTTTAAAATTAAGACTTGCATCAAACAGGACCCCCAAATCCCTGTACTCCTCAACACGACTTAAAGTGCTGCCAGCAATATTGTAAGGATATATGCATGGTGACGAGCATCGGCTATAAGTAAGTACACAACATTTATCTATATTAAGGTTAAGTTTGTAGGTCTTACACCATTGCACTATTGTGTTTAAGTTGTGCTGCAGCTTATCTGCATCTGCCATCGATGAGACTTCGGCATAGATCTTGATATCATCAGCATATCCCAACATCCGACAATCAATTTTTAGAAGTAAGTCATTTATGAAAAGAACAAATAATAGAGGGCCCAAATTTGATCCCTGTGGAACCCCTGAGGTAAGAGTGAACTCATTAGAAAAATATCCATTGTAAGCAACATAACATTTTCTATGTTGCAAATAAGAGGCCAGAAGTTGAATTGCTGAAGGAACAAATCCGAAAGAGCTCAATTTATACAAGAGAATTCTATGGTCAATCAGATCAAAGGCTTTGGATAGATCAGTGTATACAACATCCACCTGCCCACGTCTATCCAAGGTGCTACAGATAAACTCGGAAATCGTAGCCAAGTTGGTAACTGTAGAGCGACCGGAAACAAAACCATGCTGGGAAGCTGACACAAAGGGGCACGTGCTGGTGTACATAAAAGAATATAATAACTTTTCAAATAGTTTAGCAAAATTGGAAATTATCGAAATTGGTCTATAGTTTGAGAGGGACGTACGATCATCCTTTTTATAAACAGGCACAATTCTTGATCGTTTCCATCTTTCAGGAAATTCACAGGACGTAATGGACAAGTTAATAATAAATTTAAGAGGGCAAGCAAATATATAACGGCAATCTCTGACCATAAAACTTGGCAACAAATCATCTCCAGCAGTATGCTTATTAGAAAACGTTGCCATTAATTTAATTAGCTCCTCTTCTGTAGTGGGATGAAAAGAGTATGGCAACGGATTGAAATTAGATTCAGTGAAAGTTCGGTCAGTAGATACAGTGTGAACAGCAGAAAACATGTCAGCAAAAGCATTTACAATATCTTGAGGATCAGCAAGAACATTGATCTCACTATCAATCAGATTACAGGGTATTCTTGTGGTACGTTTCTTAGCTCGGAGAAAATTCCATATACTGGGCGGATCAGTCTTGATGGTATTTTTCCGGTATAGACAAGTATATTCATACAGCTTTATTCCGTACTTATGTTCTTCTACTTATGTACTTGTTCATAATACGCTGCCTAAATTTTAGGCGTCCTCGCCAGTGAATAATAAATTCGTTTATAGAAAGTTGTTTCAGTGGAAAAACCAACTGCTGAATGTAATGAATAATTTTTTCTAAAATAGGTCGTTCATATGCACATCGCAATGATTTACAAGTCGCAAAAATTTCAAGATATCGCAAAACCTATTCCTGGACATACATTGTCCGAAAACCGAGTGAAAGGAAAGGGAATTTGTACTCCATTGCTTTGATAACCGAGGAAAGCGTATAATTCCAAATAAAAGACGGAATCCAATGAATTTAATTATTTCAGGTGGTGTCACATCTTTCCATTTCCTAGATTTTTTTCTCGTATTTTCTGCAACCGGCACTGATATTGCACGATTATTAGTTCCAGCTGCAACTTTATCTATTATATCATCGTCAAAAAATAATATGAAGTAGTCAATAGGTTTGGCATTATTGCCCAAATTCGATATGAACTATGATACCCCCGTGATCGACTCATTATCAGACTCAGATTGGAAAGCTGGTGTAGCAGGAGGTGTTGAATCATTTGAGTTTATTTCATCATCAGTAGAAGGGCCCGAATCTTTAAGTGAAACTCGCTAAATGTGTAGGTTACGTAGTCTCTATCTATAAGGTCATCGTCACTGGAAATTTCTGATAAATGGTCAACAATATACTCTAACTCAGCTTTAGTAAGCTTTCTTTTTTCGTCGTTGTAAATGGTCTTGATCCCTTGCCCTTGTATTTCGCGTACTAGAGCTAATCATAACACAGAATCCTTTATTTGTACAGTTTCAAACAAAGCAGTACTCGTACTGACCTAGGAACTGCTAAATTCTCAGTTGCACTCATTGTTCTCTCTCGTTTTGAGATTAATAGAAATATCTCTACGTCGTTAAGTATCAAAATTTTCAAAATCAGCTATTTTTGAATGATGGCTTTAATATTTTATTGCTTATTTATGAAAAAAATATTATTGCACCACTGCCTCGGCCGCAAGCGACCTCGGCTATAAATACAGAAAGATAACGTTTTTATAGTTCTGTATTTGAGATTAATAGAAATATATGTATTTCGTTGAAAATAAAAGTTTACAAAATCATTTATTTCTTGAGGATTGCTTTTTTTTTCGCCCATGTCTAAGAAAATGTATTATTGAGCCGCTACCTCGGCCGCAAGCGACCTCGGCTATAAATACAGGACTGTAAACTTGTTCAAAATTCTCTTTTTGGAATTAATTACAAATATATCCAGTTGGCTGAGCATCAAATATTCTAAAATCAGTTGTTTTGGACGATGGCTATATATGGATAAATATCAAATATTGTCATTCATGACTGAAAAGATATGTCACTGAGACACTGCCTCGGCCGCCAACGACATCGGCTATAAATATAGAACGTTACACCTTTTTAAAGTTCTCTTTTTGAGGTTAATAGAAATATATCTACAGCGTTGAGTAAACAAAGTTTCCAAAATCAGCTTTTTTTGGATGATGGCTTTAATTTTTTATTGCTTATGTATGAAAAAGGTGTTACTGAGCCACTGCCTCGGCCGCAAGCGACCTCGGCTATAAATACGAACTTTAAACTTTTTTAAAGTTCTATTTTTGAGATTAATAGAAATATATCAAATTCGTTGAGTATCAAAGTTTCCAAAATCAGCTATTTTTGGACAATGGCTTTAATATTTTATTGCTTTATATGAAAACATTGTTACTGAGCCACTGCCTCGGCCGCAAGCGACCTCGGCTATAATTATAGAACGATACACTTTTTTAAAGTTCTTTTTTTGGGGTTAATAGAAATATATCTACTTCATTGAGTAACCAAAGTTTTCAAAATTAGATATCTTTGGATGATGGCTTTAATATTTTATTGTTTATATTTGAAAAAAGTGTTACTGATTGTGAGCTACTTTGACAAGAAGTGTACTAATATCATTAAATCAGCCTATCACCAGAGAAACAATCTAGACTTTCAAGTACAGGCTACAATATTATAAGCGCCTTTTAAATACATTAACAAACGCATCCAGTAAACTGATTCACCACGAAATATCTTTCTGTCCAATAGACTGGATGCCGGTAGCGAACGTGTTAAAAAAATAATTAAAAGTAATGAAATAGAATTAAATATTGGATGTTGTAAAAATCATGAAGTTATTATATACATACAGATAAGTGAGTTTTTTAGAAAAAAAATTGTGCTGTTATTAGCTCATAAACTAACAAAAAGTTACCTACTCATTTCAATTTGCATTATTTTAGACTTACAGGTGTTCAAAATCACAATCAAAATACAATTCAAGTCAAGACAATCTAAAAAACACATTACACAATTAACAACGAACTAAATAAACGTCTCTTCTTGCCGTTTTTCCTTCACAAACAAAATACATCTTAAACAATACTTACTTCGATTTCGCCTTCTTTCGTTCCAGCAAAAACTTGGGTCTCGTGAAGTGCAAAACACACAAAAGTTGTTGGTTCTGGGACGTAATATTTCTTTGGTGCGCATTTACACCCTCCCGGAAAACAACTAAGAAAATCTCATTAAAATTTTCTTGCTTAACTATAAATAAATGAACAAAATAAAAATATTTCTCACCCAATATCGAAATATAAATCGTTTTTGTTATCAGCTGCAGTATCTAAAGCTAAATTTTTCAAAGTACTTTCTTTGGAGTACATCAAAGCGCTCTGAACTAAGTTTAATTCTTTTTGATCATGTAAGTGCCTCCCGTAATTTCCAACGAAATTTTTTAATTCACACAAGAGATTTTTATGCACCAAACTTGGATCGTTTAAAATTTGTTTTTCGTATAAATCGAAATCTCTTAATAAATCTCCCACGCCGGCAGCTTTAATTTTAGCGTCGATAAAATTTAAATCGAAATAAATTTTAAACTTATCCACATAACCAGCCTCTTTTAAATGATAACCTATATACTGATAAATGTAATTGTCATCTGGAAGTTTAGCGTAGTCATTGTTACATGAGATCATGTAGTTATCAATCAGTCTCTGATGGCCGTCATTATTACGAACGGTACTTTTTAAATATTTGAGCAAAACAATATGGATTCCGTAATTATAACTGTGATCGTGATTATTATAGTACGAAACAACTAATGATTTATTTTCTAATTGGGTCATGATATCGTTAACGGAAAATTCATCCAATCGCCACAAAGTTTGTAAAACTTTTGATGTTATATTTACGTCTTCGGGAAAAATTGAAAAATCTTCGAATTTTTGACGCAGGTTTTTATCTAAATTTGCTATTGATGATTTTATGGCACTATTTTGTTCACTAAAATCAAAAACGGAATAATTATAAATTAATTCAATATTAACACAGGCCTGCAAAAATTAATTTCATAAAAACTTTAGATTATTTAGATCTTATTTAGATCTAACAGTTTTGAAAGGTGCTGAATCTGAAAATAACAACAGTTTTTCCCCATCACCCTCCGTTTTTCCACATCTCAACACATTAATCTGAAACTAACTGGTATAAATATGACTGTTACTTTTTCTCTTGTGAGTAACACCTGGATCCCCTCGATACCCATCATACTGACGTTCCAACTACCCTGATATCTCCTCTCCATGACCTTAATATCTTCTGATCTTCATTGGAACTACCCAAGTTTTCACGGAAAAAATTCAAATAAAAATGTAGAAAGTGAACTTCTATACATATCAGGCAGCCAAGTTTTTCCATTTTTTTGAGAAGATCATCGACAGTGCTGATATAGTTAGGGTCTTTTTCATTCCCTAAAATTCTAGTGATCACCTTTTTGAAAGCATTCCAAGCTTCTCTTTCAAGACCTGACATTGTGTGCTGAAATTTCTCATCAAATATTAGTTTATGTATGTCAGGACCCACAAAAATTCCTTTTTTTTAGTTTTGCCTCTGACAAATGTGGAAATGCAGAGGTATTGAAAGCAGTCACTGAAATCTTGGACGAATTGTGTCATGAGTCCTAACTTGATGTGGGTAAAGACAAATTTTTCTGGAATCGACTAAAGCTTCGTGGAAAACGTTCTTTTCACCTGGCTCCACTGTTTGTTGGGTTGGCCATACTATTTTAGTCCAGTGTTCATTCCTTGCTCTGCTGTCCCAGCCAGAAATGAAACATGGATACTTAGTATTTCCTCCCTGCAGACCAAAAATCATGCCCAAAACTTTCAGATCGCCACAAACTGTCATAATTCTCGTAATTTTCTTTGAGGTGTACATAATGCCCTAGATGAAGAGAAGCATGTGTACTGATAAAAAAATGTTCCAGCAGCGTGTAGCTTTTTTTCTTTTAGTCTAGAACCCAAGAGTTCAACATTCTCCTTGGTAAGTCAAGCTCAAACTGAGCGAAAAGTTGTGGGGTAGCATAATCTGAAGGATCTCAGAAATCATAGTTATCTTCATTCACATCAGACTAACTAGAGGTACAGGCACATCTGGTCCATAAGCTACAGGTCACATTGCAGAAAGAAAGTTGTGGTATACTATATCTCTTTTATTCTCAGAGTTATAGCCATTAAAATCATAGTAGCAAAAATAACAGTCATCACTGTGATTTTTTGGTTTCCTCTACACCATCGGAATGCCAAGTTTGAATGATTTTTTTTTACCTGATGGCTACGTCCTGAGATCTTCTCTTCACAAATATAACACACTTTGTGAGGTGCCCATGATTTGTCCTGGTTTCCAAGTCTTACACCAAAATAGGAGTAATACGCTTTCCAAATAAAGTTTGTAATGTTTCTCTGGTGTTTTTTAATGACAAGTTCACCACAAATGTAATAAAAATTGTCGGGAGAATTACGACAACCACGGCTAGTCTGACGGCTAACATGTCTTCTAGCCACCGACACGAGCGAAAACAACACACAAATGAGCGCGTGAGATGACTGAGGCAAGTGGGGTAAAATATTTCCTATCATTATTCAATACTTTAATTGGAAATCCGGGATACACAGTAAATTACTGGAGTTGACAGCGTTGAAAAGCGAAACATCGACGACTATTGCAAATCATTTACTAACAACGAATGAAAAATATAATTTAAAAAATTAAATTATAATAAAATATTAAAAATTATAATTGTTTCATCTTCAATCATTGATCATTGACAGGAGAAAAACTCAATAGTCGAAGTGCTTTGTATATTTAAAGGAATGACAGAGTTGTTAAGTCAAAGAATCGAACATAACTTCCTTTAAAAGTGAGAAACTCTTTGAAAATATAAAATTAGCGAAAATGCACACAATAAGATTAATACCGAAATTAAATCCATATATCAAGAATGTATACATTACATAGATATTTGGATAAAACCTTTGCACTCATTGCCAACCCAACCCAACCCAATGTTTGTTGGGTTATAATACTTTTTTATATAATTGAAATAAAACTATGTGTATTTATAGATGGATTTTTTAATTTTCAACTCTACCGTACACTCAATCATCCTCAGGAGCAACGTCATTATACATATTTTTAAAAAACATATTTGTTTGTTATTCAAGCTGTTATCTTTTTGATTACTTAATTCTTCTCCTCTTTGTTACCTTGTTATTAATTCAATAATATTCAATATGCTTTCCTTGCCCATTATGCGCCATGAACATACATGGCAGAAGATAACAGCTTGAATAACAAATATGTTTTTTAAAAATATGTATAATGACGTTGCTCCTGAGGATGATTGAATGTACGATCGAAACCGGTAGAGCTGAAAATTAAAAAATCCATCTATAAATACACATAGTTTTATTTCAATTATATTAAAATTGAAATGGAAAGAAATAACCAAATGAATATTAATACTTTTTTAGTCCAGTGTTCAAACCTTGCTCTGCTATCCCAGTCACAAACGAAACATAGGTACTTAGTGTTTCCTCCCTGCACACCAAACATCATGCCCAAAACTTTCAGATCACCACAAACTATCCGGTTATCCAGTTATAATTCTCATAATTTTCTTTGAGGTGTACATAATGCCCTAGAGGAAGAGAAGCATATGTGTTACCACTGAGCAGGAGTACCGCCTTCAGGCTTCTTTTTGAAGAATCAATGAAAAACGTCCATTTATGAGCTTTGCATTCAATTCCAAACTTTTGAACCAAACCCGAAACATCACAACAGTAGACCAACTCGCCTTCTTGTTTGAAATAGTCAGTAAATTCACGATCTCTAAATATGTACTGATAAAAAGATGTTCCAGCAGCCAGCAGCTTTTTATCTTTTAGTCTAGAACCCAATAGTTGAGTATTCTCCTTGGTAAGTCAAGCTCAGACTGCGCGAAAAGTTGTGAGGTGGCATAATCTGAAGCATCTTGGAAATCACAGTCATCTTCATTCACTAAAGCTCATCTCACCTAGCGTTGCTGGAGGCAGAGGTACAGGCACATCTGGTCCATGAGCTACAAGTCGCATTGCAGAAGGAAGGTTGTGGTATACTATATCTCTTTTATTCTTAGAGTTATAGCCATTAAAATCATCGGAATGCCAATTTTGAATATTTTTTTTATCTGATGGCCACTTCCTGAGATCTTCTACACAAATATAACACACTTTGTGAGGTGCCTATGATTTGTTCTGCTCCCCAAGTCTCATACCGAAATAGGAGTAATACACTTTCCTAACAAAGTTTGTAATGTTTCTCTGGTGTTTTTTAATGACAAGATCACCACAAATGTAACAAAAATTGTCGGGAGAATTACGACAACCATGGCTAGAAGACATGTTGACACGAGAGGAAACAACACACAAATGAGCGCGTGAGATGACTGAGACAAGTGGGGTAAAATATTTCCTATCATTATTCAATATTTTGATAGGAAGTCCGGGATACACAGTAAATTACTGGAGTTGACAGCATTGAACAACGAAGCATCGACGACTATTGCAAATCATTTATTTTTAAATTTTTTTTAACTATGAAAAGTGCTGTATCATAGTAAGATAAGATGGCTCAGCCTTTTTTCGGCGATTGAAAGAATCCTTAAATTATATGTGGCTTTGAAAGAATACTTTTTAACAAAAAAGTTCTCATCAAAAAGTTGTTTGAGAGCGATACAAGCGAAATATATTTGTTTCATCTTCAATCATTGATCATTGACAGAAGAAAGACTCAATAGTCGAAGTGCTTTGTATATTAAAAGGAATGACAGAGTTGCTAAGTCAAAGAATCGAACATAACTTCCTTTAAAAGGAAGAGATCTCTTTAAAAATATAAAATTAGCGAAAATGCACGCAATAAGATTAATACCCACATTAAATCCATGTATGAAGAATGTATACATTACATAGATATTTGGATAAAACCTTTGCACTCATTGCCAACCCAACCCAACCCAACCCAATGTTTGTTGGGTTGGCAATACTTTTTTAGTCCAGTGTTCAAACCTTGCTCTGCTATCCCAGTCATAAATGAAACATAGGTACTTAGTGTTTTCTCCCTGCAGACCAACCATCATGCTCAAAACTTTCAGATCGCCACAAACTATCCGGTTATCCAGTTATAATTCTCATAATTTTCTTTGAGGTGTACATAATGCCCTAGAGGAAGAGAAGCATATGTGTTACCACTGAGCAGGAGTACCGCCTTCAGGCTTCTTTTTGAAGAATCAATAAAAAACCTCCATTTATGAGCTTTGTATTTAATTCCAAACTTTTGAACCAAACCTGAAATATCACAACAGTAGACCAACCCGCCTTCTTGTTTGAAATAGTCAGTAAATTCATGATCTCTAAATATGTACTGATAAAAAGATGTTCCAGCAGCCAGTAGCTTTTTTTCTTTTAGTCTAAAACCCAATAGTTCAGTATTCTCCTTGGTAAGTCAAGCTCAGACTGCGCGAAAAGTTGTGAGGTGGCATAATCTGAAGGATCTTGGAAATCACAGTCATCTTCATTCACTAGAGCTGATCTCACCTAGCGTTGCTGGAGGCAGAAATATATTTGTTTCATCTTCAATCATTGACAGGAGAAAAACTTAATAGTCTAAGTGCTTTGTATATTGAAAGGAATGGCAGCGTCGCTAAGTCAGAGGATCAAACATAATTTCCTTTAAAAGTAAGAGATCTCTTTGAAAATATAACATTAGCGAAAATGCACGCAATAAAATTAATCCGAAATTAAATCCATGTATCAAGAATGTATACATTACATAGATATTTGGATAAAAGCTTTGCACTCATTTAAATGGTTAGTATCAAAACAAAATCAGGAGTTACATTTTGACAATATCACAGATTGTGTTGTATATTTGAGAAACAAAGGAATCACCATTGATGATGTTGCACTATTTGAATTAAAACATTTTCTCAATTCCAAACAAAGTGAGTTTTATGGTGAACTAGCTGAAAAATACTTTTCTTTAATGTGTGTAATGATAGTACTTGATTTACTGAACTATAGAAGATTTGTGATGAAATTTTTCGTTATTTTTCCCAGATTCAGCACCCAAAAATCAATACAGATCGCGTTTGAGTTTCTAAAAAGTTTTTTGTTTGCAGGCCTATGTAATTAATTAATTACTGATAATTTCTTCCTTTTAACATTTCAGAAAATGACTTCCACGACGATTTATTTTTTAACAAACTCTCTTTTTGAGTCACCATGAGTGAGCCAAAAAGAGCCACACTAAGCGGGTGGCCTTTGCATAAATGATGAATTTCCATTGCTTCTGGTTTCTTTTTAATCTCATCTATGTTTACACCTAAACAACTAGCGAATAATTCGAAAGTTTCATCAATTTTAAAAGTACCATCAACCTAAAAATTAATTAAAATGTTATTTATTATAAAAAATTAATAAATTACACAGACTGTATAAGTTAATTACCTCAATAAGATGAGTATTCGATTCATTAGCCAAAATACTTTTATTTTGAGTTGTAATCATGATTCGACAACCCAAATCAAAAGCGTCAATAACAGATCTATCATAAACGTTATCCAAAATGATTAACATATGATTATAAAGTAGTTTTTCGCGTATTTTTCTTTGTAATTTAATTTTAAGGCTTTCAATTGATGAATAATTTTCGTTCCATTCATTTCCACACAATTTTAAATACAACCTAAAAAAATTTTTATGAATAAAAAAGTTCTTTTAAAAACAAAATTATTTACTTAGATAATAATTTTAGTAATTGATCTGAATTAATATCCCCCGCTGTTATCCAATAAACTTTTCCCCCAAATACTTCCAAAACTAAGTCAACATTCATTATTCCAACGACCAAATTTGATTTTCCAGAACCGGCCATTCCGTATAAAACAACCTTTCCATCAACAGGTAGCTTTTGGAGAACATTTTGAACTTGGGTAATCTATAAATAAGTTCATTAAGTATTAAATTAAAGTAATAAATAAATTTTATTTTTGTTAGATTCTCACCCGATTTATCCAAGTCTTTTGCATCATCAAAACAAACATTTATGATAATAAAAAAAGGAATAAAAGAAACACTTATAGATACCTTATCTTTCCTATTTACATAATGCAAGGGTTTTCTAGGAAAATCACCAAAGTTTAAAACGCTTTTAAATAATTCCTCATTCTTAACTTTATCTTCCAATCTACGCCTAATCCTATCATAAATCCAATCAACATGTGTTTTTAAAATAACATTTACAAACTTCTCATACTTGGTCTCATAATTCAACAAATCTTCATAAAACATCTCATTTGCCTGACCTTCGGGTACCTGCACAAACAATTTTTGAGGTTAGAAACATTAAAAGCATTAAAAGCAATGAAATGTTACCTCCCGAATTTTGCTGCATAATTCTTTAGACGCTATTCCAGCTTCATAAAGATGATCGAGCAGTGCGAGCACATTCACGCTTTGTTTAATGTTCTCTAACTCCTCCTCAACTGCGAATTTGTACTTGCAGTTCATCTTCGAATCTAAAACGAATTCGATTCTTTGGTTTATAATACGATTTAGTAAGAGTACGCTACCTATTCATTTTAATTTGAAAAAAAACTTAATACACAACGACCTACAGTGAGGGATGTTTCACAAATATTTGTTAAACTTGTCATAACTTGTCAAGATGCTTACTTCATAGCCGCCAACTTAAATCTCTCAAAACAAGTTCTTTGTTTATAAATCAAAGATTTATGTTTTATTTTAATCGTATATTATGATTATTTATAAAAATCTTATTAAATAATCATTATTTAATTAAAATAGTAGGAATTTATGGATATTAGAAATTTTTAATTGGTTAATAAATAAATAAAAAAGAATAAGTTGGTACCATTTCTTGTCATTTCAAAATTAATCATTATTTGTGAGGTTATGTTATTTGTTAAGGTTAAGGTTAAAATGGATGATTTTATTCCAACGAAAGGCTCACAAATCAAAGAACACCCCACGGATAACTTTAAAGTAATAAAATATGAATCACACAAACCAAAAAGAAAAAATGATACTTATAAAGAAGCAGTGGAAGAAAAATTGGATATTAAAGCCAATGAATTGAATATAAAACGTGCCAAGTTTGAAATAATGAAATTTGGAATGTCTGGGTTTGATCAGCAGAAAAAGGAGGAGGCTAAGATTCAATTAGCCATAAAATTGGGGGCGAAACCTCCGAAGAATAAATATAGGAATTATAAAGAGTTGATTGAAGAGAAAAAGAGGGAAAAATTGGAGGAAGAAAAGACGATTAAATTACAGCAAAGTGGTAAAAATAAAATGGGGAAATCTATTGCTAAAGGAAAAAGCTTTGATAGGAAGAGAAGGAAAGGAAAAGAAACGAAAGGTTTATTAGATGTTTATGGTAAAGTTGATAAAAATAAAGTTAATGTGAATATGTAAAATAAAAACTTTTTTATTGATTTTGATTTTATTTATTTAAAAAAAATAGTATCGATACGAGTATGAAAACTTACCCATTTCATAGATTGTTGACCTGAAGAGACTTAAGTCAAATATTAGATTAAATATTTGCATACTTGTTTGGCAAGGTTATGGTAATTTAAACTTTTTTTCTTTAAAAAGATTATTTCTAGAAACAAATTTAATTAGTTATAAGAAATGATTTAAACTAAATTTTCTAAAAATTATAAACAATCAAGTTATTTCTTTTTTAAGTGGGGAAACTAGTAAAATAAAAAATGTACTAAGTATACTCTATTTTTTAATTCGCAGGAGTTCTTTCAAATTGAAGCGCCAAAAAGAAGGGTTGCTATTGGTCAGTTTTAAGCAAAAATTACACTAGGAAAATTCGAGATGTTGAGAAACATTCGGGTTTAGCACGTCTCTCAGAATGGCTAAACCCGAATGATTCTAGGTCTTGTGTTAGTTCTAGTTTTTGTTCAATAAAAATATACAACATAGTAATATCTAGCACTAGACCAAGAACTAGAAAAATTCGGATTTAACCACACGTCTCTCAAGATGGCTAAAGCCGAATGATTCTAGGCAGTGGCGTAACTACGGGGTCGCAAAAGGACGCATTGCGTCGGGGCCCGTCGATCCTTGCGCCCTCAACGATTTTGAAAAAATTTAAAGACTTTAATTAGAATTACAAAAACTGTTGTTAAAAGTATACATTAATAAAATTTGTGTTTAAAACTTTTTGAAATTCCCAAAAACGGGTAAAAAACTGCTGAGGGAATGAAAAATAAAATTGTATCTATATTAGACGAAATGAAGATACCAATTGAAAAATGTATTGGTCAATGATACGACGGAGCAAATGTAATGAGTGGTATATACAATGGTCTGCAACAAAAAATAAAGAACATTCAACAAAATGCAGAGTACGTTCATTGTGCAAGCCATAATTTAAATCTTGTCATAAAAGATGCAATAGAGAAAAATAAAGATGTGTCCGCATTTTTCGTTACACTCCAAGAAATATATTCATTTTTTGGAAATTCTATTAATA